ACACATGCATCTTATATCACTGATATGGACACCTTACATAGAGCAAGCATACCATTTTAACTTAGCTGAAAAAAAACCCCAAAAATTAAAATTAATAAATTAAAAAATTAAGAATATTTTTACATTGCTTCCTTTTTTAAAAAAATAATAGAAGAATTCTTTAGGAACTGATTAAGTTTTGCCTTTAAATTATAACAGCATTTTAAGGGTCTTCTACTAAATCTCTAACACATGAAGAACCACTTAGTCACAAAGTATAGGTATGGAGAGTTACATAGGAGGGATTTATATGACTTGTTTACTAGAGCCATTAAAGGGATAACTTTATCTATCCATTTAAGTGTACCCATATGTATAGCTTCATGTTCTAAGGCAGATCAGTCTGTATTGGACCATTTGCATGATGCTTTCAGTAAGTCTCAAGGACAAGACAATTTTCCAGAAGAGATGTAAAAATAATCCTTTCAGTCATCAAATCCTGAGAGTATAATAAGCAAGAATTGACATTTATACCCAGACCTAAAATTACCAGTGAAGAAACAACATTCACCTCTTTCCACATGTTGTTTGTCTTTAATTGCTCTCTGGCTGCAATTATGACAGTACATAATGAAAATATATTGTCTTAAGGCTGAACTTTTCAGTACTAAGCAAGGACACTGCTTCCATACCCTGGAGAGAGTCATCCAAGATACTCAGAGTTTTGTGTGTTTCAGAGCTCATTATGTTTATTAAAGACAACAGTTTCCATCCAGTGGCCTTTACTCACAGCAGTTGGTGACCTTGGAATGTTTAAATTAAATTTTCTCCCATCAAAATAGAGAATGCTTTAGCAGATGGTAGTGACCTAATTCTAAGAGTCAGACAATCGTAGTTATCCATGACAGGATGGTAAAATCCCAATATAACATCATTACTGCACAGCTAGGACTCAAGCTGCAATGATATTCGCTTACCTCCAAACTCCTTAGATCTTGCTGAGGACTAAAATGAGCAGTTAAGGTTTGACTGAAATTAATTCATTAACACCTGACTATTTTGGCCACATCTGGAAACCCTAACATACTCAGTGTTCATTTTCCTGGTCTACTTTTCAAGATATAGTGTAAAAATTGACTTCAAAATATAGTGTAAAAATTTACTTCAGAGAAAACTGTCTAGGGTATTATGTAAAACATAGAAAATATTCTTTCCTTTGGGCAAAAAGTGTTATACAGAGTGCTAAATACTTCTAAAAGCAAAGCTAAATAGATTTCACCTATTAGTCTTTCTTAGAAGAATGCAACTTTTAAGCTGCAAGTTATAGTTTGATTAATAAATTAAACTTCCATCAAAGGAACATTTAAGACTTTATGAACAGTCATAAAAGCTTTTACTAGAAAAAACAAATATTTTTTAAGAGAAAAGAACTTTAGAACTTTTTATTAAAATCTTTAAGTATGGGGATAATACTGAATCAAATTCCCCACATTCTGTTAACCTTTTATTACATAAACCTTTATTATAACCTTTTATTACTAGAAAACCTTTTATTTGTATAAAATAAAATAAAACCTTTTATTTGCATAAACTTTTATTACTAGAAAAACCCTACTGATTTAAAAATAATCATATTGTTTATGGTTCCTTTAAATAAGTAATATATAGTGTTACTTAATTCTCATTTCTCATAATGAACACTGAGAAAAAAAGGAAATTACACAGATAATTTTTTTCCTTTATTTTGGCAGACAGTACTGTAACTGCACGGCTAAATAATCCATTAGCATATCTTCTTTAAAATTGCTAGCATGAGATAAAATACCAACAGCATAAAATAGAAAAGGTAGATTAAACTTACTCTATTTAGCCAAACTATTTTTGAATGTTTCCATATTTCTTTTTCTCCCTCATCCAGAGCCAGCCAGCTCTTTATATAAACTTTAACTGCAGTTAATGGGAAATAAGTTTTCAAGCTTGCTAAAAATGTAACTATTTCTTAACATGCAAACATTAGCATGAAGTACAGCCAAGCAAAGAGTCAGTCTCCCAAAAGCTCTAAGAGCCTTTTAACCTAATAAAGACATACACAATCAATACTTACTCTATTTATTCAAATTAATTGAAAAACCTCAAACAATCAAAACAAGACACTTTCAAGTTACATGTGCCACTTGCTCTGTGCCTTTTTGTTAACAAAAGTGAAAATCAGTCCATGATCTCCAACTCTGCTTCTGGAAGAAGTGGCTCCACTTCACATCTAGAGATAATAGCTTGACTTTATTAATATTTTTAAAATATTTTTCACTGCATGAAAACTTAATACAAATTGCTTAGGTATTTGATGCTAAATACAGAACAAAGAACTTTTTCAACCTTCAATGATTGTTAAAGAGGACATCAGGTTATTTAGAATGATGTCTTACATATTTTATATGCATATTGTACACCTAAACCCAGTATGGTCCTTCCGAAATGTTTTTAGATATAAAAATAATCTACAGTTCTAGTGTGAGACCATCTGTAGAGAAACTCCTTCATAACCAAAGCCTTTCTGGAAAACTGTATTTGACCTTGAAGTTTGCAATGTAGAACAAATCTAAGATTTAAACCATCCTTACAGTTTTTCTAGTGTTTCTCTGCACATTTTATTATCCCAGACACAACTGTTGAAACAATAGGCATAAATGTATCTGAGATCTGCCAAAAGTTTTCTAGGAAAGGCCCATCCCAAGACAAACTGCTGCTGCTCTTTGCTAGTGCTAGAGATGCAGGACACAACCCAGAAAATCAGCGCTCACTGCTGTTAAGATCCCTCAGTGTGATCACTGCTCTGGAGTACAGGAATGTCTTTCCATGTCCTTTTATGTTCCACATGCCTCAGCTGCTGCTTCCATCCTCAGGTCGTTTCCTACCCAGCAGCAGCTGCACCAGCTGCCCTCTGCCTGTACCTCTTCCTGTACCTCTGCCTGTACCTCTGCCTGTACCTCTGCCTGTCCCCACCATCACTTGAGCAGCTGCTCAGAACAGCAACCTTTTTGCTGCCTGCAGTTCTTGATTTGTCTAGTCTTAAAGGGTGAAAAAAATGGATATGCAAGCATAACAACATTGATACCTCTGCTTCTGATGAACCATTCATGCAACACCAGTGAAAAGCCTTGCCACACATTGCACCAGAAGGCATGAATGTAAAGTCTAATGTATAGGTGATGTGACTCCCTTTTTCTTCTGTTTTGGTCAGAGTCCTTGAGTAATTTCCCAGTTATTTTTTATTTAATTTGATTAATTCCTGTGAATTCTTACTTACACTTTTACATTGGCCTAATAAAGAACACCTTCAGGCAGGTGTTACATGTTGAATTACATACATGCAGTAAGCATTGTATTATGTCTCCTGCGCAAATGCAGAAAAATATATTTCCACTCTTCCCCCTCCCACCAGTGCTTCATTAGTCTTTGTGAAATGTAATTCTACTTTCATTTACTCTGATAAAAATCAAGATTTCTTTCATCAAGTACTATAATATAAAATGTGCTTAAATTGGACTAGAAACAAGTTTTGAGATTAATTAAGTTAGAATTAAATTCAAGCTCTCATTCTCTCACTAGTCTTGAATTAAAGTACTTAGACCTTCTTTCATAGATTTCACATTGTTTTCAGAAAAACGTGGAACACGTAGAGAAACCAGGTATAAAGTAACCTTGTGTGTCAGCAATAATAGCTGTCTCCATTTCTATTGCAATTTTCATCTGAGGATCCTGAGGTACTTTTTGAATATTCATTCAGCCTCACTGTACTGCTGAGCTTCACTATGTACATTGTGCTCCAAGGAATAAAGAAGTAAATCACAAACCAAGGGCGCAGTTCTGATTTCCTTAGAATTATTAGCAAGTTTAATATACTATTAGTATCGAGTATTGGAATACAGCTCAAGAATTCAGATTCTTTAAGCATCTGGCACCCCTCCAAGCTCCCAGAGGAGCTTTCCCTGGTGTCTACACTAGGTGGTATTTTGCTACCAGTTAATGGCAGATACTGTTTTATGTAAAACAAATCTTGTGCTTTTTGAAGTGCTAGACTGGGACTGAATGTACACAAGGCACTGTTGCTCAAACAAGAAAAGCAATAACACCAACAAATCCATTCACTGTATTTGAGATTTATGCAATCCACACCTGAATTAGTCTTGAGAATCAAAATCTAATAAAAAGATTCAATAATTAAATGTTTTCCACCCTCCATTTGTAAGACTAGAATTCATTGTACTGATAAAGTCAAGAGGAATGCATTCAATACTCCTGAAAATTGTCAATTTTCAACTAGTATGTTCTGACTACTTATCAGAGACTACTAGATACTGATTTTTTCCTTATTTCAGAGCTATATTGAAGGAAGTGATTATTTCCCACTGCTGTGCTCTTGTGAATCCCCAACTGGAGTACTGTGCACAGTTCTGATGTCCCCAGTGTAAGAATGACACGGAACTGTCAGGGCCAGTTCAGAGGAGGACAGCAAAGCTGGTAAGATCACTGGAACACATCCCCTGTGAAGACAGGCTGAAAGAGTTGGAGCTGTTCAGCCTGGAGAAAAGGTTACATGGAGATCTCAGAGCAATCTTCCAGCATGGGAAGGGACCTGTAGGGAAGCCAGAGAGAGACCCTTCAAGAACTGCAGTGCCAGGACAAAGAGTAAAGGTCTATTCCAGGTGAGGCACTGGAACAGCTTGTCTGGGGAGGCTGTGGATGCCCAACCCTGGCAGAGTTCAAAGCCAGTTCAAAAAGGCCTTGAGCAACCCTAGTGGAGGTGCCCCTGCCCCAAGCATGGCGGAGTGGGACTAGATGATCTTCAAGGTCCATTCCAACCTCTTAACATTCTATGACTCTAGTATTTGATATAGATAATTTATAGACTGTCTCAGTACAAAAGGATCTTAAAAGAAGTGCAGTTTGTTTCGTTTTTTTCTGGAGATATACTGTCCTGGCTAGAAAGACCACCAAAATATGCTGTCATTTTCAAACTCAATACCGCTTTCAGATTACTTCTTTTCAGGATAAAAGTTCTTTTTTTTTTCTCTAGACAAAAATAAAAGTCCAAAAATACACTAATTTTATGTTGTGTGGTACACAAGAACAGAAAGTATCTTTACTTTTCAGATCTTTGAGCAACAAAGGGAAAAAATTTGTTTTCAAAAAAGAGATTAACTGAAAAAAACCTACAATAGGAATAGTTTGGTCCACAATCCAAGCTGTTTCTAATTAGAAGGTAGGAAAACATACACTCTCACATTTTGCTCACCAAGGGAATAAAGCCACATACAAATCACAGTCACATGAAATAAGGCACTGTAAATATTTGTTGAATTTAATAATTACACTGTCTGTCTTGGACAAACCCTTGCTTTGTGACCCTGGAAGACAGCAAAATGTTAGTAAAGAAAACTGTAGTTATCCAATATGAAATAGAAAATAGATCTATAAACACTTCTAGCAGGTTGTTTTCAAATCCAGATTTCAAATCATAAAACACTTAAGGTTTGAAGGAACCTCTGGAGATTATCTAAGCAACTTATGCTCAGTTGTGTCCATGTTACAGGAATATTAATAACCAACATATGAAAAATTTCCTTTTTTCATCTTAGTAAACATGATTCTACCTTTTTTTTTCCCCTACAGTAGTAAAATGTGTCTATTTATGCTACAAAACATCATATTGCTACATGAAAGTCAAAACAATTGTGCAGTTTGTCCAGAAACAGAATTTCAATAAAATATGAAATCTTAATAGGACTTAATAATACCTTCTAGAATGATAATTAGTTCCACTATGGTCAAAATCAGACACTCTACTATCTATTTTGTTGGTGAAAACCAATAGTAATTCCTAAAAAGTCAATAGATGTATGACAGTCTATATTAGTATAGATGAGACATGAGGGTCCATGAAGATCTTCTCCCCAGGGAGAAGACTTAAGCCTAAAATTCCTGTCTAAAGTCTCCAGAAGTGTATAAACATCCATAAATTCCAAAGAAATAAGGGAAGTAATCTTAATATTTTAGAACATTAAAACTTCTTCCAGATCCTTTCTTCTGAAGCTTGCAGAGTACTAACATATATATGAAATCCATTCTTTTTTTACAAAGTTTTTTAAGCTAATAAATTCTCAAGGCAAGATTAAGAAAAAACAGAAGAAAAACAAAAATAAGGAAAGAAAGACAAACACTCACGGTAGCCTGCTGCTTCTCTGCCTTCTCATCTGCCTCATTAAGCTGCTTTTGAACGGCTTCCTGGAGAGATTTCATTTCCCTAGGTTATTGAAAACACAGAATACAAACTTCAACACAAGTGTTCACTAGGAAATACTTATTCAGATTAAAAAATTGACCTTTAATTATTCAGAGTAGGAAACAGATGTACTTTGTCTGTGAGTCTCCCAAATTAAATCAAAACGACTCCATGAAGTATAGTGCCAATGCAAAATAAAAATCATCTATGATGCAAAGTGGCCACCGTTTATGTCTGTTGAATGGCCTGCTGTGCAAAACATCTGGTAGTGTATAATTTCTAACAAAAATTATTCACACCCAAAAAGTGAGAAAAGTAGGCAAGTGAAAATCCACTGTCATCGAGACATACTATTATCAATAAGAACTAGCTTATATCTGCTTTAAAATAAACAAATAAATCATGCTCTGGTAAAATTCAACCTCATATGGCACCTTCTAGAGACAAGCAACAAAAAATTCAGTAGAAGATTCTGGTATAAAAATAAAAAAGAGCAGGATAATTGCTTGGATTTGGTTTATTTGAATCAAGTGAAAACCCTCTGCATTACTGATTCAGCCGGAGATTTTCTCCAAATTGTGGGAATTTTCTACCCACAGCACATGACACAATTCGGAGATGTAGCAAAGTAGTAAAATGACATATTTCATAGGAACTGTAGGGCTTTTGGAGGATTGCTGCTTGCATGGATAAACTCTCAATGAAGACCAAGACAACTGGATTTACAGACAGTAACATACAATAATTTAGTCCTGTGAAAACTAAACTGAAGGGAAACCACATAATTTTAAAAGAACTTGCCACCTGTTAGATAATTTTTTTTAGCTGATAACCCCTAGTACTTTCAGCAATTTTGGCAACACTAGTATAAAACAGATTTAATTAAAAGAGTGATTGAGCAGCATGAAAACAATATACCATCAGCACTAAAAGATGCCATCGTTGCACAGTGTTGATGATACACAGAATAAAACTGGGGGCATCATAGCAAGTGACTAAGTTTTACTTGGAACTTGGGTATTATTGAACAATTTGCACAAAAGGAATTAAAAAAATCTATTCTGAAGTCAACAGAACATTTACTTACAAAAGCTGACATTCTAGTACTCTAAACTTTACTGTATTGTAGAGTATAATCAAAGTTGTGCTCAGACCAAGTCTGCAGCTCATGTTTGTTCAAAGAAAGATCACAACATTAATATTGGGATATGTTTTGAATTTTGGCTTCAACACAATAGATTTAAGCATAATATTATGTTCTTTTTTCTTCATTTACTGCAGATACAAGGTAGCCTGAGGACCCTGGCAAATAAACTGTGACCCTTCCCCAGTGAAATTCTATGAGGAAGATTCCCTGGCACATTTTAAATTCCTCTTTCATACGTTGAACTTTTACACCTCTCTGGAAATGAAATCTAGTAAGTATGTAAACTGCTGGCAACAGTAGTAGCCCCAAAGCATTTCCTTGCAGTATACTGTAAAAACCTTTCATTTTCTGAATGATGGAGTGGGCTGCTCAGCAGCAGATTGCACTTTTTATTTCTGGGAACTGCTCTTGTGCAGTGCATTCAATGTCTCAGAAGCAAAATCAAGATATATTTTAGGGTGGAACTTGAGAGACTGCAAGTGGTGATTTACAGAGGAGATTAGGAAGAATATTTGAAATACGTAATAAAATTTTCTTTCAGCAGACTCAATTTTCCCATATGCAACTAAGATCTATTTACTAAACAGTCCATTAATACTTTTAATCAATTCATGTCTCAATTTCATAAAGGAAAATTGCACAACAATCAAACCACCACAAAACTGCATTCATGTATGATGACGGATTTTGTCTGTGTGAAGGACAGCTATGATGCTGAGATGTTACACCTTCAGTCATATCCAAGCCACATATGTATTTAAATAGGACAGTAGCTAAAGTCTTTCCTCTAGAAATTATTTGTCTGGAATACCTGAAAGATTGTAATGGATCACAGTAAAAATAAGAAATTCCACTGGTATTGTATTGCAGACCTTATATATTGGGTATTTAAGATATGAAGGTAATTTTCTCACAAGGTTTCTATGTAGCAATGCAATTTTATTCATACTTTCATGTGTGTATCTACACTGAATGTAGATGTAAGATGGCCATGGAATTTAATTATTGCATTTCCAACAATGAAGGAAGTATGAACTTAATAATTTTTCTTATTAAACATTTTTCCTAGGGAGAAATATGAAGTATAGATGCACTCATTATATACTATTTTTCCAGCAAAAGTGGTCACTATATTAGTTATGTTTTCTTGTTACTAAAATTGTATTGATGTTGCTGTTTGTTGGGCTGAATTTTAAAAATGAAGAGACAGAATGATGAGACTTACTCACAATGAAGCACTAGGGAAATTGAGACTAAGGACTAAGGAATGCAAGTTCCCAGCCATGAGAAATAACTTTTTAAGTGCTCAATGAATAATTTGAAATTAATACTTCTTTCTCTTTCTAACTCCATTCATCACTAATACCCAGTGGAAGTATTCCTGTTTGCACATGGACTAATGATTTTGAGTGTCTACACATATAAACATTTAATTAAGAGCTTTGAATAAATGTCATCATATCCAAACTTAGAGATTTAGACACTTTAGTCATTTAATTTTCTAAAAATCCTGAATTTATTTTTTAATGAATATTTCATTACTAAATTTTCCTTTAAAATTCAAGGTCTTTCTTTAGCAGATATCTCACCATACCATTTTAATACATTTTCCTATCATATGTCAAACATCAGTAAATTCATCATTTGTTTCAAAAAGAGTATTTTCTGCCTTTATTTTACTGTTACAACTAGCAGATTCTGGAATACAGCAGTGTTTATAGTAAAAGGAAAGGTGAAATTTGCTAGTCTGACAGCTTTTAGTCAGGAAATGGAAAGAAAAAGAAGGAAGTGAGGGTCTTACCTTTGGTTTTGGCCAATTTCCAGAAGTTTCTGTACATCAGTTTTGGTTGATGCTTCATCATTTTTTAAAAACTGATAGCAACAACAACAACAACAAAAACTCTATTAAAGAGATCCTTTTTATTAATAATCTGTAAAAGTATTTAGCCCTTGTTCCTAAAATGGTCCTGGTGAATTGCAGACATTACCACTTAAGAAAATTGGAAGAATAGTCTGATTTTTCTTTACTGTAGCTCAAACACAGTTAACCATACACAGCTCTGTATTTCTGAAACAGTAAATGTGAGATAAATGCAAGCAGATTTAGAAACAGATGAATGACTGAAAGCATTAGAATTTTATGACCAAGTTAAGTGTATATATACAGAAGATAATACTACAGCTCTTTGCCTATACCAAGATCTCTGTAGTGTTGAGTTTAAAATATTTCACAGTGTAATTTTGCTGAATATTACCTTCAACTGTGCTACATTCTAAAAGAAATTTGCTACAAGGAGAGCATATTTCTCTAAAAAATAAAAAAAGTCTGCAGTAATGGTGATAACACACTCAAAAAACCCCCAAATTAAACCCAACTCCCAAACCAAAAACCCCAAAGATTAAAAGGTTGATTAATTAAAACCAGGGAAGTCTGGAACATAAGAAAATATAACATAATACTATAATATAGCCCGGTACTGATACACACCACTGGTATTCTCCTGAGAACAGATAAGAGTGCTTCTTCTCCTTTCATTTTTCCCAGCTAGCTTACAAAGATGTATTGTCAGAAAAATAATTTATTTTAAAATGGCATGAAATACAGAGACCAATTTCAACTGATAATGAGTCTAAATGTTTTCAGCAGACCAACAGACTCTACTGGGAAAAGACAGGTGCTCCCTCAGCTGAATATCTGGACCTCAAATCCAGGGAAACACTTTCAATTTAGTTTTTCCTCTGAGGAGCTGATTTGAGTTCAGAGTTAGTTTATTGCCCTTTCAGTCTAACCATGGCATAGCAGTTAAATGAAAACGAGTCTCAGCTCTCACTTCAGGCTCATCTAGCACAGATTGTCAGCCAAATTTGTAAATCAATGCCCTGCAGTAAATCCAGTCAGACTGTGTAGGTGACATGTCAGAAAGGTAAACTGAGCAACTAAATTAAGTTGAGTGTATGGAATTCAGCAGCAAAGATCCAACCTGCAACAGCAAAGGCCATCCTTTTCAGTAGCTGCCAGTACAAATGTGAGTCAAGGGGCCAGAGGGGGATATAATTGGGATAGTAGATTATTACATATTTCACTTAAGATTTTAAAATGAGTTAAGAAACTAAGTTAGCTACCAAAGATCATGTATCTCAGTTAAAGAGTAACAAATACATTAAGAAAGAGAAGCTAGACGTGACAAAGACAGATGAAGCAATTGTGAAGAAGCAGAGACCATAGAAATACCTCACCTCAGGAATAATCCAACAGTTAAGAGAGGCTTGGACTGTGACCAGCAGGTCAAAAGGTCCTGCTAACTGGCTATAGGCTAAGAGCTCACCATGAGGAAGGCAACTTTCTTCCTCCCATACGACCCCTCCCCGATTTCAAACTCCCACCAACACAATTCAGCTGCAATGGATATTCAGCTGATTATAATATGAAGTGGGCAGGTTATGATTATGTATTATGTGTCCTTAGAAACTGCCTGGATATGTAAAATATTTTCTGTAAAAATAGAGGGCAGGAGTCTTGGACATGTATCTAGAAATTATTCCACATGTGTCCATCACTGCAATAAAATATCCTCCTTTTCAACTTTAATTAGCTGAAGAGTCGTCTGTCCGTGCTTCAAATGTGTCAGCTCCATTAATATTCTGTATTTCTTGTCCTTCCCTTCCTTCTTCTATGTTCTATTTTCATATTTCCTTTATTTTTATTGAGTTGATAAAGGCCCAAACACATTAGGATGAAAATTTCTATGAAACTATCAGGTTTATGTTTAATAGAAGATCAACAAAATAAACAAAATAATAATTATTCACATATTTAATGATTTTTAAAAAGAAACATATTTTTTGTAATTAAAAGACACCAAAAAGAAAATGTTGAGGTAAT